ATATGTGCGTGTTAAAACACACGAAAGGACTCCAAACGACACTTCACTCTGATTGGGCAGAAAAACACAAAGATTTTCTGGCACCAATCAGATGCCAGAACGACTGCGACCGTTTGGAACTAGTCTTGTAAGACAATGTCCCCAGGGGCTCTTCTGCCCTTAACTTGAAATCGACTCACTGCCCCTGGGTCTCCGAGGATGGACTAGTAGTGGTATCGGCTCACTTAGGTCAGATTTGGATAAATTCTCCCAACCTGACATGTTGATGACGTCACGCAATTGAGTATAAAATCTCCTTAAAATGGACCAATGAGATGGTAGGAAAAAGGGTTAGGGAGAATTGATTTTTTGATCAGCAAGAATGTGCGCGCGCAAGAGTAGTGCCCAGCCCCTGACGGATGTAAAAAAGAGAATGGGACCAGAGATTACGCGTTTTGGTTTCGCGGGTTAAGTGTTAGACACACTTAACCAATTATTATTGTAAAGTGTAAGAAGTATTTATATGAAATCAAACAGATTTTCTCAGATATGTGGTATGATTTATTTTGTCATTGTTTACAATAATAAATTGATTACGTCCATTTGATTCAATTGTTCGTACCCATAAGGGTAAGTGTCAAAAGTGTTTCGGTCTGCTACTCATTTGTTGTAGACCATGCGATATATTTTCTGCTGGGGTACTGTGGATAAGTGATATTCTTCAGAGTTTCTTACAATCTTGTAAGGAATGGGTACGTTGACGTTACGAACGTCTCCATTTTCTAGTGGTGCTGTGAGTTCATCCAAAACGTTTTGTTTGATGACATTAAAGTTCACGTATGATGTTCCTAGACTGTTTAGTGATATTCCACGCACCTTGCATTCTTCTTTTCCAGAGGATGTGATGTAGGCGTAATTTTTGGGTCCTCCCGAGACAAATTCTATGATATGTTCACCGTGTGGTAGTTCGTCTTTGAACTCTCCTAGATAATCCCCCAAAGGTGGATCTGTATCGTGGGGGGAAGAGAGGAATATGACAGAATCTGTGTCAAAGTAAAGTACACGATTTTTTAGCATGTCTAGTGCCTCGTAGAGACGGAGACGAGCCCAACAGGTGGTGAAACAGGCGATGAAAATGTTCAGATTAGGAGAGATGGATTCGTCCTCGTTTTCCATAGTGTAATGGACTTCCACGCGTTCACCCACGGACGCTAGACCCACGTATGATATGTCATAGGTATCGCTGGACATGAAGGTGGCGAGTTCTTGGGGTTGATCAAATTCCTTGACTTGTTTTTTGTTGGTACGCTGTCCAAATTTACCCCACATGGAATTTAACATCATTTTGGCTAGCGAGCGTAGACCGGGATTTTTTTCAATTTTAGTGGGATCCAGTACAATCCCTTCTTTCTCTTGGTAAGTCTGTAGATGATTGTCACGTTGGCTTGAGTCTACATGAGTTGGCCACCCGCTAGCTTCTTCTTTGAGTTTTAGCCAAGTGTTCACATAGTCTTTGAATAGACCTGTCATGGTATTTGAAAAATGCCAGACTTCGTGAATGTGAATGATACTGTATCCTTTCTCTACGGCCTTTTGGAGTTCGGGGGTACACCACGTACCTGTAAGTTGTCTCTCGCGGTCCGTGTGATGACAGAGGTGTGTGCGTTGTAGAAAGGGTTTTTCCATTTCCTCGAGCACACAGGAGGCACATAGGGGAAAGGTGAGTTTTCCGGCATGTCGGTAAGGTAGTACGGGATGGAAGAGTTGGGAAGGTGGAAGCACTGTACATTTGACAATACCGAAAAACTGAGAGATGTCTGTGTGACCGGGTTGGGAGATGATTTCGGGATGTCCGATCGGGTACGTACCGTTTTTGTTGACCCAGGGGTACAGCGAAGTGAAATCGTAATAACGTATCACTTCTTCGCGATGGTACAGGCGAATGGTATTGGTACGACCGCCGCAGAATGCATCCCGAGGGTTTAGGGGGGTTGAAAGGTCTAGGTTTTGAACGAACGCGCACACATCCTCGCGCTCTTTTTTCATTTTTTCCCATTGACATTCCCAGATTTCGATGACATGGTATCCTCGATCACGTAATAGTTGGATTTTGTCTTGCGTGCACCGGTACACATCATCGAAGCACCTGTCGTCTAGGCGGCGATGCGTTTCGGTGCGATTGGTGTAGCAAGAACGGCACCCATGCCAAAAGCAACCTTGGAATTCATAGATGGTATGAGATTCCTCGTGGTAACCGTCTACAGTGTATCGGGTATGAGGGATTCGGTATTCACCGGAGTTGCCCGCATGTTGAATGGAACCGTGGGGTAACTGGTGCTGTTGCCAGTGAAGCCATTCTAGGGCCACGCGGGATTGATTGGTTTTCAAGCGCCAACCGTGCACTGGTTCGTTGGCAATGGTGCCAGCTTGCATACGGTTCTGGCGCAAATCCCTGTTACAAGCCGAGGCGATGGTAATGTGAGAGAAGGGATTGAAATGGGCGTGGGCTTCAAAGACTTCCTTGAATTTTAAACATCCTTGTTTGAGTAGTTTCACATCTGATTCACAGTATTCAACCAATTCCTTTTGGAAATCATAGATGATATTGGACTGTTGGGTATGCCACGTCTCGAATTCCTGACGTTTAGAGACGGACATAACTTCGGGCATAAAAAAATGTGTTTCGGGAATGTGTCCGACATAGGATTGATTGGGAGGGGTATTGAATAAGTGAGGAAAGAAACCCTTCTTGAGTTCGGTTAAACCAAACGTTTTGGGAAAGGCCGAGAGGGGCATTTGAAAAAAGGAAAGAGAGTCAATGAAGGTGATACGATCAAAGATTACTTGTAAGAGTTTAGCCCCGTTCCGCAATTGTTTGACGATGCGGTTTTGACGATGGTATTCATGAACAACAAAATATCCATCATAGCCTTGAAAATTGTGGGCTAAAACCGTCACGTCTCGGGTGTCACCTTCCGTCAAGGTGTCTAACCATTCTAAGAAGTCTCGCATGCACTCGAATCCTCGGATATGGACTGGTCGGTTGTCGTTTTCGGTTTCGGCCACGACTAGGTTAGGGACATGTTGTCCCGTATCTTGCATGGCTTCTACGTCGAAGAAGACGTGTAAGGGGGGTTTGTGTTCATCATCGTCGTCACTCGAGGGCATTTCGTCCTCATTAGTGTGAAGGGTTTGGATGCCAGCAGCTGCACCACGACGTGACCGATTGGTGCGTTGCTCTTCTTCTGGGGTTTTAGCTACTTGCACAAAACATCGATGCGACGATGCCTCTATGTACTTAGAGCATGATGGGCAGGTGATGTAACCGCATCGATGTTCATTTTGTTGCTTTTTACCCGTAAGTAGTTTGCGGCAGGTTCCGCATTTCCTGCGAGTTTCACAAACGTTGGGTTGATGGGGGCTGGAGGGTTTACCTGCATGGGTTTTCCCTAAGTGATTGCTAAGGCAGGTGGGTCCATAGAAGGAGCGTCTGCAACTATCGCAGGGTAGGTAGGCTTCGAGATGTCTACAACGACGTTCGGTATAATCCAGACATCCCGTTTGTAGACAGGCACAGCAATGATGGGGGTTATTATTACAGGCATGACGACCTTCATCGTTGTAGGGTTTGTGACAACGTGCACAAAAATAGGACGTGCCGAAGAAGCCAGGAAGGGAGGTAATGACATCGTAATGGTTCTGCTCATAGAGAAGGACCAATTGTTTGGGGGAAGGTGGACCATAAGAAACCACTTCGTACCCGCGTGTGGCGTCTACGAGTAGGATTTGATAGTCGTAGAGAGAAGGGGTTTTGGAGAAGGCTTCTAACTCATCGTAGCCGCACGGACCGCGAGACACTCCGGATTCTAAATGTAGATCAACGGCTGCCGTGTGTTGCAATTTGTAGCTCTTTCGAAAGGCTTGCCAGTTAGGGTGACCATCGACTTTAGCTTTGGCGGTGACCAGAGCTCTGGCGCAACAGAGGTCGTCGTCATTGGTGATGACCACGATAGAATGTTTTAATTTCTTGAAGTGTCTAGGGTCATTATGACCTGGTTTATGATTTCTCTTTCTACCTTGACCCGAAGGTGGAGCTCGCACATGTGTAAAGGACAATTGAAAGGAATCATCCATTTCAAAGTTCCATTTCAAATTAAGCATGTTACTTAATTGTAAAAGCAAGGCATCGACGCGATCCCCACCACGTAACCATTCTCCCGCGCGTAATCCTCTGTAATTGTAGGCGTGTGCAAGTCGATTGCTAGCCAATCCCAGGTAAATACGATCGTTATCCGGGATATTATCTCTCCGAATGAGACTACGTACAGTAGCGTGTAAGGCGTCTGTAATGGCTGTGGCGAGATGTTGTGGAGGTATGAAGGCCCCGCGTTGTCTTAGACGTGTGGTAAAATGTCTTTCGCGCACGCCCATGCGCTCACTGGTACGATTTACAAATGGATCTAAAACGAATTCAAAAGAACCAGGAGTGTCCGAAGTGGCACCACCTCCAATCTGGGTTTGATAATTGAACTGACGATCAAAGGCGTCTCCGGCTTCATTGACTAATGCATCTAAAGCTTCTTCATCTTCTATTGTTCGTATGAGTTCTTCATCCGTCACTTCCATCTTAGATTCTAGTGACAAAAAACAAAATTGAAGGTAAGTAATTTATTTTTATACACTGACGCGAGTCATACGTCAACAACTAACGCGAGTGATGCGTCAATAACCTTATATGGTAATAAAAAAGGATACATGCGTCAACAACTGACGTGCGAGTGATGCGTCAACAACTGACGCGAGTGATGCGTCAACAACTGACGCGAGTGATGCGTCAATAACCTTATATGGTAATAAAAAAGGATACAAATAAGAAAGGTACGAAGTGTGTTTACATCATTCGTCATGAGTGCTGATTTGGAAGACAATCCTAAATGGGCGACTGTGGATTTGGAGAAGGTTTTGGACGTAGTGGAACATTGCGCTGACGAAGACGATTGTAGAAGGTGTTTTAGAGATGCCAACAATTTTATCCATAAAGACTGGGATGATGAGGACTTGACGGACCGCCAGAAACATTTTCTAACCTTAAGGAACAAGATTTTGGAGGATTTCAAAGAGCTTCTACAGTTTGCAGAAAAGTGCTGCATTGAAGGACCCGAGGAAGAAGAAGAAGAGGAAGAAGAAGAAGAGAAAAAGGATGTCGAAAAGCCAGTGGTAGAAGAGAAACAGGACACAGAACAGTCCGAAAAAGGATTTGTTTCATTAAAAAAACATGTTCTAGTGACACTTTGTACAGTTCTTAGAAATAAATCGTGTAAAGCCTCTGACATGTGTACGGTCATTCTTCTAGTACCCACGATAGCAGTGCTTTGCTCGTGTAGATAAGGTGGTTGACATGTTGTAAACTTTCCTTGGTCATAATCGTATTCGTACCATTGATCAGTAAATACACAGAGTTGCTTCTTGTTATCAATGGCCATTTGAACACTCCAACCCGTACCTCCTTCGAGGGTCTGAGGGTTATTGATATCTCGAATACCAAAGGCTAGGACCAAATGAGCATCACATATGATCCAATAATTTCGTTGTAAGAGCCCTGTATTCAAAGTAGAATTGTAAAGGGTCCTCTTGAGAGTCTTGTTGGCTTTTAATACGTGTTGTAACCCTTCGTGTAACATGCTCTGATTTAGTGGCGTCACGTATTTGGAGCGATGGTGAGTGGGCGGAATCATCACTTTGACACACATGTCGTGTTGTTTGGCTAGTTCTTCGGCTAAGGTATCGATACCCGTAGCTCCTCCCGTAAATAGAATACGATTGTTCAACATACTTACCTCCATAGAAGTCATCGTGGTAAAAATGATGAGTCCAAAAATAGTATTCTCTATTTTTAACTCTTGCTTTCGTCAGCTTTTCGTCAGCTTTGACCTTATTTGGTCTTGTTTACGCCAAATTGCGCATCGCTGTCGTCAGCTTTTTAACCCTATTTGGTATGCTGACGTGATATTTTGTAGCCATAAAAACAGGCGTGTGTGAGATGATATCATACACATTTGATTGTGACTGCAAGATGAGCACTGTACCAGAAGTTGCATCGGACAACAAGAAAGGTAGTAAACGTACCTCACCTAACCCCAACAAGAAGGCTAAAAAAGCCAAAAAAGAGATCGACATTGATCATCCTCATTTGACCTACGAAGACGGAAAATTGGTACCACGCCCAGGCATTAAGATTAAAAATGGAAAATTGGTCCCACCCGACGGTGCCGTTCATATCAGAGATGGAAAAGTGGTCCAGCTCCGAGAGTCTTACACTGAACCAAATCACAAAGAGAGTCAGACTGAGCCTGCGGAATTGGTGGAAGAAGGAGAGGTGGTGGAACAGGGAAAGGTGGTACCGGGAATTGAAGGTACGGGCACGTTCCATTATTCGTCCTTAGACGATCTCTTGGAAAGTGTGGAGACTATTCCCACATGGTACGCCTGTCCCATTCATAAGGATGAGAAAATGGAGGAATTGACCAGTAAAAAAGAACATGTCAAAGATACCTTCTTGCGATGCCATGTATCCCATTGTCCCGTCTTCACCTCTACCAAAGACTATGGCTTGTATTATGATATGTGCCAGCACCAGGGTCATCCATGGTTTACCCTAGAACGAATAGAACAGATGAAGTGTCAATGTGGAGAAGATCCCACACTTTCCATGTCATCGTCTCAAAAAAACAAGAACCGAATGTATCTGAGATGTAATAGGAGAGAGTGTGATTTGTTTACTTGGTGGGATCGTAAACCTTACATGCCTGTACAACAAATACTCATGGCTGCTTAATTTTTTAATTTAGGTCATGAACTTACCTTAGATGAATGGGCAGATATCGGCATTCTGGCAGGACCAAGCATACAGTATAAACTTTTTAAACTGCTCTATGTACCTGCGGAAATGAGAAACCGTATTTTAGATAAAATGTATTGTAGGATCATTGTACAAGCCGTGGAAGATGGTCAAGCCACGTTTTTACCTTTGAACACATTGTAACTTTTCCTTTTTTCTTGTAGAACCCAAATTCAAACAGGGTACACCCACAGACGAGGATCTGAGAGGCATTGCCAATGCACTATGTCAACAATCAGCCGAACAGATCGTTCAGTTTTTTCATGTATTGACCGGTAGATCTGAGGAAGCTATCCTTAAGGAGTTGACAAGTTTGTAAATAAAAGGTGTTACTTTACATGTTTGATTCATTCTTTTTAAAACAATGGCTGAACCTAGACAACGTAAAGCGAGAATAAGGCGAAGGAAGCGTAAAGTTCAGAGGGGCGGGGCGGTTTTAAGACGACGCGGCCCGACTCTCACCGATAAGATTGCCAGGGGAGCTTCCCAATTCTTATCGGGACCTGCACCCTCCTTTGCCAGTATCGGTAAAGTTTTGGCTCTGCAAGCTTATAAGGGAGTCGGAGATAATGTCAAACACAGTGGATTCTTATCTTGACATGGAACGGATCTATTATTTTGCGCATTATAAGCTGGTAGATTGGATCTGTTTTAAAATACGTAGATTGACCCATTTCGGAGAAGAGAGACTGATCCTCTACGATTGGGTACCAAAGGGTCAAGAATTTACTGTTTTTCAACATGCCATCTTACCACGAAAAAACTCTTTGAAAAATCGTATTTTTCACTTGGCGATTTTCATGCACTTCTGCAAGGGAAGATATACAAAAGATGTGTGGCAACAACTGTATCATCATTACTTTTGCACAACGTGCGTGGTATGGTACGCGGTGATGCTCTATCTTAAACTACAATGTCTAAGAAGATTAAACAGGAATTGAAAGACTACAACGATCCCAACGTTTTGGGTACTTTGGGTAGTGTCAAAGAATATGCCCGTACCAACCAGATTCCATTGGCAAAAGCCCAAAAAATTTTAGAAAAAAATTTGGCCTACACGCTCCACAAACCACGCAGGAAACGTTGTACGTTCCGTCCCGTGCTGGTCTTTAACAAGGACGAACATTGGGTGGCCGATTTGATCGAAGTGCAAAAGCTGGCTAGAGAGAACAAAGGGTACCGGTTCATCCTTACAGTCATTGATGTATTATCCAAACACGCTTGGGCGGAACCTTTGAAACGTAAGACGGGGAAAGAGGTGACAGAGGCCTTTCAAAGGGTGTTACGTAAGGCTCAAGGTAGAAGACCCTTGCAACTACAGACCGACGATGGTAAAGAGTTCTATAACCGCACCTTCCAGGACTTAATGAAACGCCGAGACATTCGTCATTTCTCTACCAAAGGTGACACTAAGGGTAGTATCATTGAACGTTTCAATCGGACTCTCAAATCAAAAATGTATCGCTATTTTACAGCATCAAACAGTCTCAGATATGTGGATGTCTTACCCAAATTGGTGGATCAATACAATAACACTTATCATCGAAGTATTGGTATGACACCTGCCAAAGTCACAGATGAGAATGCAGATATTGTATGGTATCGTCTTTACGATAAGGATCAATACGCCGCCAAGAAAAAAGCCACACCTTTTAAAAAAGGGGATCGCGTGCGTTTGAACAAACAAATGCGTACCTTTCTTAAAGGTTATTTACCGGGATGGACCGAGGAAATATTCATCGTGGATCGTGTGGTACCCACTTATGGTACCACCACTTATAAAATAAAAGAGTTGGATGGAACATTACTCACAGGTTCCTTCTACGCCTGGGATTTACAGAAGGTCACTGTGGATGTAGATTCGTTGTTTAGAATAGAAAAAGTGTTGAAACGTACCAAAGATAAATTGTATGTAAAGTGGAAAGGCTATCCTGCCAAGTACAACAGTTGGATCAATAAAAGAGATGTGGCTTAACGTTTACGTATCATTTTAATCATGCGAGGAGGTGCTTTAAAACGATTTAAAGTCTACGGACCTGGACAAAAAGGGCGAGGTGGAAAAGCAATGTATTATCGTTGGTCACGTCCACCACCCTTCTTTCCTGGAGATCAACAACGAGGTGAGGGTCTTTTGGCTCCGCAGAGGGGACGCGGTCAATATTGGTATAATCCCCATGGATATTATCCTCAGGCGGGCTACGGATCCTTAAAAAAGGGTAAACGTCGCAGACGTGGCGTTAGTCGTCATTAGTAACCATGCGAGGAGGTGCATTGAAACGATTTAAGGTACATATACCAGGAGACCAAAAGGGTGGAACTTTGCGCCGTTGGGGTCAACAGGTAGGATCCGGATGGGTTGATGATGTGGTAGCTGATGCTAAGTATCGTTGGGGACCGAGATCACAGACAGGAGATGGTTTAGAGGATATTTTAAAAAATGCTGCTATGGCGGCTATTAGACCCACCGCTGCCACTGCCCTAAAAACTATGGCAGAAAACATTAACCCGTCCAACCCAGTACCTGTCAAGAAAGCAACTCAACAAGCTATGCAACTTCAACAAAAAGCCGCTGTACAAGCGGCTCAGGCAGTCCAATCCTCCGAGGACGTAGCCCCAGCTTTGTTACAACCACCAGCCAGTCAAGCGGTCGCTGCTATTGTACCCTCTAATGCTTATACAACAAATGTACCTAGAGGCGTTCCACAGGGAGCCACGACTCCTTACCTGA